GCACGGGCTTCCTTGTGCTTATTTACTCATCTGTGTAGACCCCTGACTCAAAAAGCACACAGCAAAAGGCGAGGAGAAAAGAACGATGCCCTAGAACACCAGCCTGCTCCCGAAGCTGCCCAGAGTGAAGTGCCTGGCTCTAGTTCCGATGAAAGGATGTCAGAAGGTGGGAGACGTTCCTCCCATCTCCAGACACGGGTCAGATGGGAATGGTCTCCGGTTAAGAGCCACACAGCCATCCTTGCGCCTGAGTTCATCTCCCGAGGGACACCTCCAGGGGCGCCTCTCCTCCGGTTTAAACTCTCAGCAGCCTTCAGCATCGCTCACCGTTTCCTCCTCCTCGACTTTTGTGTCACCACCTCGCCTATTTTTCCTCCACCACCAGCCACCAACCCATCCATCTTTTCCTCATCTCCCTGTGTGGGAGACCCTCAGGTCTCAGCCCCAGCCCCCACACTGGACACACACGCGTCGTGGTATGCCTTCAAATAGCCATGTGCTCATGAAGTCCATGGCTTGTGCCTTGAGCCTTGACCATCCCTGCATTCAGGCTTGTGTGCCCAATTGCTTACGTGACCTCTCGGCCTGTGTTCACTGTGCCAGCCACCAGGACTGAGGCCCGCACCCCCTGCTCCTGCCTCAGCCGGTCTTGTTCGGGGCCTTTGCACCGTTGTTTGCCTGGAGTACTCTGTCCCCCAAAGGCTGCACCCCAGGCTCCTTCTCAAGCAGTCTCGCTCCCAAGGCTGGCCCTTTAGCGACCCTCTTCCGACCTCAACATCGAAACCAGCATCTTCCAGCCCCTCTCATCTGCTTCGCCAGCTACCTAGCAGTCCACAATCCATGTATTTGTTTACTGAGCATTACCTACCAGCACCTTGTCTCAAAACTCACTGCGACCAATGCTAACACATAGTAACCCCATAGGACAGGGCAGAACTAACCCGTGTGAGTTTCTGAGACTGTAACTCTTTACAGGAGTAGAAAGCCCCATCTTTCTCCCATGGAGTGGCTGGTGGTTTCAAACTGCTGACCTTGCGGATCACAGCCCAGTGTTTAACTTGT